TTTTAAATGGAATGTGGGGCTGGCGGCGCAGCCGAGTGGCGGGCGCGTGGGTCCGCCCGCGTTGGCGGGGGGACGCGGCGGGACCGTCCCCTTGCGCGCTGCCAGCGCAGCCCGCGCTCGCATCCCCGAAGCCTGACAGCCCAGCCCACCGCTCGGGCGACGGTGCAGGCCGTGACACGAAGTCCGAGTGCCCAAGATCGCTCCCGAATTCAGGCTCGGAGAACAAAGCTACCTGCTGTGCCTCTAGGCCGCGCTAGGCCGGCCCGAGCCGGCGGTTCCGAAGCAGATCTCGCCTACGCTCACTAGCCGCCGGGTGGACTCGCGGCGCCCTACGTGGTCCATGCCGTCACTCCCTTGCTCCGAATGTCCCCAGTGCACGCGGTCCTTCTCGCACACAGCTCTACCCCAGCACAAATGCGCCTCTGCTACTTCGGATTGTCTTTGGGAAGGGAATTCTGGGGCTTGGGGCTCAGCTTACTAGGATTGCTCCTCCGTCTGGGGAGCTTCTCTAGCCATTGTGGGCCTGCTTCGCTGACGCGCTGTTCTTTGGTTTGCAGCCCGGCAATGCGGAACGGTGATGTAGGACCACCGCGACTCAGCTTCATATGCCAGTGCTCCAGGCCGAGGGGCGGGGGCGGGTGACAGTAGGTTACTAGACCATCATCGTTCCCCAGAATCTGCTGTTCAGCTTTGCCCCAAGTTCTAGGAGTCCAGATCACCTGAGCTTTGCACCTCGCCACACGCAGCATAAGATCCAGAGAATTTGGGATCTTGGTGCTTTTAAATATTTACAAAACACTGTAAAAAGAAACCCACACTGTTCCATAAACCTAAGCAATTCTTTATTAGAATGCAGACCAGAACTAGGAAGAATGTGTTTTCACTGGCTGAGCTCTCAGCCATTAGATTTTCACTGTAAACATGTTGAGTGTTTATTTACAGAATGCATAGCCCAAGGGCAATCCAAAAAACTGGGAGTTAAAATACTCCGTGGATTCATTGAGAGCCCTGTAACCCCCACCGTGAGGAAGGGGGACAGGAACAGGGCAAGGCCACTTGCCTGAAAGACCTGACAGTCTTTTGGGGCCATAAGTATTTCAAGAGTTTGAACGCTGTACAAGAGAAAACACATATGGTGCTGGGCAAGAGTCAAATGAGTTGAGGATCAAAACACTAGTGACTAAATAGCGATGGAAATGTACATCTCGTGCAAAGAAGTTACCGGTGTAAATCGGGCCTATGGGTAAAACTTTGAGAGCATCGACTGAATCTCAGTCTCCTTTTTAGTCTGAAATTCCCTTGACCTTTGCTTTCCCCTTGCAGGCCTCCTTGGTCTTTCTGCATTTCTCCCCTGCACCTTGTTTTCCTCCAGACTGTTGAGTATAGGAAGCCGAGGAGCTTAGGGTTGTTGTTGAGAACGACAATGGCACACAGCTGCAATCCCAGGGCTCTGGAAGGCTGGGGTAGTGTTACAGGTGGTTTCTTTAGAAATGGCCCACCAGTCCAAAGTATTCCAGGTTCTTCTCGCCTTGAACAATGAATTGGAGGACACAAGCCAATAAGAGTGCCAAAAAGTTAATTTGAAAAGTGTCAGGTAAACAGCTATGGGAGAAACCAGCTTTGCAATGAACTTGGGCCGAACAAAGGAAAGGAGAGTAAGAGCAAAGATAAAAGTAGGTGCCACATTCAGATGCGGCGCAGGCTATCGTGCAAACTCATGCACGTGGGCGGCTTGCCATGATGGTGGGTCCTATATGCCGTCCACACCTCTTGTGGGAGCCTGAGAGAAGTTCTACGGACGGGCTCATCACGTTGCCCTGGGATCTCGTGATTGACAGGTCCTGCTGTCTTTCCCAGTCAGCTGTGCCACGCCCTATCGCCTATATCATTTATGATATTTATATAAATATGAGGCACTGAAGGAGTGCAGGTCTCTGTCTTCTATAGCTTCTTCTAGCTGGAAGGGGGTGTACACCCTATTAGGGATTATATACCTTGGGGTGTTGTGGCTTGTAAATGCGGTGAAGGAAGAAAAACCTGTCAGAAAATAATGAGAAAAGAGTTAGTGACCCTTGAGCTGCCTGTTGGAAAGGAGAAAGAAACTTTACTATGAGTCCAGATGTGAGGAGCATGTTAGACTTCCATGCTTTCTGTAGAGAAGAATGTATGTTAGACAGGTATGTCAGATAGAGTATCAAGAGTCCAAGAGCCTTTGCCTTAGCAGGTCTTGTTTACTCATCTATAGCAGTACTGGAGATTTGCTTTTTGAAAAGAAATTTCAAGTCTTCCAGAGGTTCACAGGAGTAGCTTTTCCCTTTGGATGATCTTGCTCTTTAGACAATTCAGGTGGACCTATTTTTAATCTAGAAAGATGAATCCAGGCTGGGTGTGGTGGCACACACCTGTAATCCCAGCCCTCTGGAGGCTGAGGCAGAAGGATCCTTACGAGTTTGAGACCAGCCTGGGCTACAAAGTGAGCTCAAGGCCAGCCTGAACTGCATAGTGAGACCCTGTCTCAAAAAGACCAAAAAAAGAGATGAATCCAGTTATCTCTCTCTGGCAACTTAACTGCACTGGGTATAGCAAAGATCTCTGAAAAGAGGCCTTTCCCTTTCGGTTTTAACTGGTCTGATGGTGTTCCCTCAGCCCAAGTTTTTACAAGCACTTGGTCTTCAGGGCAGGTACTAGGTGGTCCCCCTGGGCCAGGAGCTGGTAGGACTCTGTTCCCATACATTTGGATAACCTGTTGTACCTGGCCCAGATTGATGAAATGTTCTAAGTCTCACAGTCTCTGGGTCTGCTATCAAATTGGAGGTAGAAATGGCCTTCCTTAGAACATCTCAGATGGGCTCAAACTTAGCCCAGCTGAAGGCATGCTATGAACTCCCCTGAGTGCTATTGGTAGCATTTGGAGTCAGAACTCAGAATTCTCTTGGTAAAATTTTGCCAGAGCTTGCTTTAGGGTCTGATTGGCTCTCCCTACCTTTCCAGAAGAGTGAAGCCACAAACTGGAATGAAGGTGGTGTTGCATTCCTTATCTTATTTTTTTTTGTACCGGAAATCAAACTCAGGACCTTGCACTTGCCACGTAGGCACTTGTGCCACTGAGCTATATCTCCGGGCCTGGTGGTACTGTATTCCTAAAGCCTTTGCCATTCCCTGAGTTATATTTGGGAGGTAAAAGAAGGTCTATTGTCACTCTGGAGAGACTGGGGTGGTCCAAATCTGGGAGTGAGTTCCTTAAGGAGAACCTTGACCACCTCCATAGCCTTTTCTGAATGGCTTCATTCCAGCCTATAAAAGTGTCAACTAGGACCAACATCTGTTTAAATCGTCCACATGGTGACATGCGGGTAGGGTCTCAGTGCCAGTCCTCTCCAGGGCATGTCCCACTCCTCTGTGCAGCTTCTAATACAGGAGGTAGCTTGGGCTTGCCGAGTTGTTGGAGACACAGAGTGGGCAAGCTTCCCAGACCTGTTTGGTGGTTGTGGCTAGTCCTAACCTTGTGAAAACTCAGTGGCCATCTCCAACGTTGCATCTCTTCCCCTGTGGAAGGAATCATGAAGTGTTTTTATAGCTTTCCACTGCACCCCTTGGGGAAGGACTAGTTTGTTTCCTAAATACCACCAGAGTCCCTTTTCGATTCTTATCCTTAGGCCCATTTATCCTCCTGGGCGTATAGACTGGTTTTAATGGTTCCTCAGGAACTGGGAATAAGGCTGGAGTCTGAAGGGGCTGTAGGACCGCCCTTTATGCCTCCCTATCAGCCTTTTGATTTCCCAAGGAGATTTCAGACATGTCTCTCTGATGTTCTTTACAGTGCATGACTGTATGTGACCTGTCAGGGAAAATGGACTGCCTCTAGGAGTTGTAGAATTTCCTGTCTGTGCT